TCTCTAAAAGCATTGTTTACTTCCTTTGCCTAATAGAATGCTTTATTTTCTTTTTTTATATTACTTCTTGTTTTTTCCTGGAATTAATGATAGCCCTATTTTTTTTTACTTGCTTTGTTTTTTATCTTCATAAACGTAGTTTTTTCCATGTGAATTTTTTTCCACAAATGTTCTGATGCAGCAGGTAATCTGTCCATGCCCCTTTTTTCCTGGAACCCCTGCCCCTCTGCTCCTGGGAGGCCCAGTGGGATGCACAATTGACACCCTCGATCTCTCTCCTGGGTTGGAGTTCCTGTCTCCCATGCAAAATTCTTTGTTGTTATTGTTTACTAAATAAGATACCTAGTCCAATATCTTTCTAAAACAAGATTTATGGAAAATAAATGTCCTGAGTTTTTGCATGTCTGAAATGTCTCCAACCTCCCCTCACATTTGCTTGATAGCTTGGTGTGGTCTGACATGTCACTGGTCATTTTCCCTCAGCATTTTGAAGCCGTGGCTTCATTGATTTGTAGCATATGGTATTGCTACAGAGAAAGTGGGTCCCTTTATGACAACGAGTCCTCTTTATGTATTCCGTTTCTCTGTCCAGGTGCTGCATGGGTCATCTCTTTAATCCTGGGTCTGGTCCCCACATTCACTTGCTGGGCACGTGGGGAGCCATTTCAGGCTAAATGAATTATATACTCCAATTCTCATTATTTCCTCATCTCCTCCCCTCTGCCTCCTCACTCCCCTCTTTCTGGAAACCTTGTCGGTTGGCACTTCAACCACCTGAATGGACAGATCCTGCTGGAGAGTGATAGGCAGAAAGCCCCCTGTTTTAGGGGGACCCCAGATGTCAGTGCAGGAAGAACTGTGCTCTGGGGCAGGGTCTAGATTAGCCTGGTGGCAGCTCTCTGGGCACGGGAGGGCAGGTGCTGGGGACAACAGTGAGAGTGCAGACTGTTGTTTGGCCCCTGCCCAGTTCTTCATATCCCTGAGTCATGAGCCCCTTGGCACCTTCATAGAATGTACATCAGGTCACATCTTGGGCAGGAAGCTGCCTGATGTGGTGTGTGGTCGGGCATCTGGGGTGGTTCTTCTGGCCCACACCACACTGCCCTCTGTTCATTTCTGGACAGGGCCCCTATTACTTCTTCCATCAGACAATAAACCAGAACATAAACAGCCAGTGTGTCTGGTGGTGTGTATAACGGGCAGGGAGGGCAGAGTGAGGGAGACAGGAGCAGGGCTCCTGGGCAGAGGACGGCCTGTAGCCAGTGGTGCCTGCTGTGTCACGGCAGCAGTGAGCGAGGACCGGGGCGGACAAGGTGGAGGTGGGCGTTGGGCTCATGAGTTCCTGAGGGGGCCGACAGACTATGGGTGTATGCACCTGCAGGGGCTCCTGCATTGCCCAGACGAGAGCTGGAGCCTGGGGCTGCTGGCCCCTTGAGCAGGTTCCAGAGTCTGCCTGAGCCCTTTTTTTCCACCATAAGCAATGTCTGGCGGGGGACAGATTCGGGGGGGGCATTCCCCAGGGCATGGCAATGTCCTGCACGGAGAAGGTGCCACATAGCCATCCTGATGCCCTTCCCAGTCACTGTAGCATGGGTGAGCCCCTGTTCCTGCCCAACTGGGCCAGCATCCAGGGATGCAGCGAGGAGAGAAGGCACTCTGCTTAACACGCACGTGGTGCCCAGGGTGCTGTGGGGTCAACGTGAGCCCCAGAGGCTCAGGGGGAGTCAGCTTCTCAGGCTTCACCAGGGACCACAAACAGGAAGCTCCAAGGACCAGAAGACTCATCTGCATCTTCTGGAACCTGCCAGACACACCAGCGCCTACTGTACCCTTGGAGACCCCTCAGTGACCCCACCCATGGGCCCTTAAGCCTTCAAACACCCTGGCAGCCCAGCTATCTAACCAGGCACAGGGCAGCTCGCACCACGGCTCGAGGAAGCAGCCTGAACTCGTCCTGCCTATTGATTTGCTGTGTGACCCTGGGCGAGTCACACACCCTCGTGGGCTGGGAGCAGAGGGACTTGAAAAGCAGGCTGGCCTGCCTCCGTGGACAGGACTCCCACCAGTCCTGGCTGTCCAGATGGCAGCTGTAGGTCACTGGGTAACCGTTGCCTCGATGGCCCACATCAGTACAACCGGAGAGACTCACAGCCAAGGGCTTCGGGGACGGCCACACCTGGTCTCCCCAGGACCTGGAGGCACCAGCGGTGGGAGGGCTGATGGCCCTGTTCCCACCACAGGGACCCGTGACGGTGTGGGAGCAGCGAGGGCTCTGCCAGGCCTGCCCCCATCGTGGGACACAGGACCTTAGCCTGAAGACCGTGGGGGCACACGCTGGGAGGGGAGCCCGTGCTCTGTGTGCCCGGTGTGTTCTTGCCCTCAGAAGTCACCTTGGGGCATGTTGAACTCCAGCTGGCCTTGGCTGGCACCAAGTAGACAAGCCTCTCTGTCAGTTGACACCTCAAACTCTGGTTTTCTGTGTTCAGGAGGAACTACCAGGCTGGCCCATTTCCATGTGAGTGATCAGGGCCCCCCAGGCCTCCAGGAGTGGAGGAAGTCCCGGCAACCCTCAGCCTGCCCTTGGGGCCTGAGGACACATGCAGGACCCGGCAGGGCAGGCAGCAGACACCTGCACATGGGGCTGTGTTTGTTCATAGGTGTGTTTCTGGGTGCATCCCTGTGTGTCCGTCTGTCTTGGCCTCTTCAGAAGCACTTGACATGGTCAGATTTATAAATGTCTTCTACTTCATTCCTAAAAAGTTGACCCTTAAATGAACTGACCTTTCTTGTCCTGGCCACATTTAGGGGCTTTCTCACCGAACCAGGGTCTGCAGAGGAGAGGCCACCCACCCCACCCCAGTGCTGAAGCTGCTGGGGACCTCCAGGCAGCGGCGTAACCTCTCAGGCTTGGTGTCCCCCACTGGGGGCTGAGGTGCTGTGTGAGGTGACCTCCTTGAGGCGCCTTCTGTCTTGGATCCTCTGACCATCTCAGTCTCGACCCTGGGGAGTCATGTTGGCCCTGCTGAGCACACACACAGGAGCCAGCTTCCTTCCTGCCCACTCCCTCCCCTGAGGGAGGCTCTGGTCAAGTGAGCTGAGAGGTCAGTGTGAAGTTACCGCTGGGACAGAGGCCCACGGAGGTGGCACCAGCTGAGGTCTGAAGGATAAGCCGGAGTCAGCTGATGAAGCAGAGAGGGAAGAGAACACAGCTTGTGCCAAGGCCCTGGGGTTTCTCCCCAGGAGCCAGGGAGAGGGTCAAAAGGAGGTCCGCTGGTCACAGAGGGCCTAGGAGGGTGCAGGTGGCCCTTTGTGCATCTGCCAAGGGCAGCAAGAGCCCCCGAAGTGTGTCCCGCGGGAGCTGGGGTCAGATGTGGGGTGCAGGGCTTCCCACACTGTGGGAGCTGGAGCACCTGAAGCAAGCGGTCAGTGCCGAGGCTGGGGCCCGGTACGTGGGGAGGGCGCTTCCAGTGCGAACGAGGGCCCGAGGCGGCAATCACAGAGCAGACCCCAGGCCTCAGAGAGGAGTTAGTGGTCAGGATGCCCGCCGTCCTGCCCTCCACTCTCTGCTGAGGAAGACGCCCCTGACCCCCACTGCCCAGGTGCTCTCCACCATCTGCCTTGTCCCCGGGGTGACCCAGTACCAGCCAATGGGAGCAACAGGGAACGTCAGGTGGCCGACCCCTGCCCTGTCTCCTCAGCAGTCTGCATAGAAGGACCAGTCTTTCCCTCTGCTGCCCCTCACCCCCACCCCGGAGCCTTTGGCAGGCTACGCCTGGCTCTGCTTAGGGGATCCTGAGGCCCCTAATGAAGGTGCTTCAGACCCGCCCCCCTGCAGTTTTGTAGCTGCTCCTCTCAGCCTGGGGTGAGCTGCAGTTGTACCCCACCACCTTTGCTTTTGCCAGTTGCCATGCCCACCCCCCAGGGCCCCCTGGGAGTTGTATAGTCAGATCCGCACACTGCCAGCAGGCCCCTTGAGGTGCTTTGTGCCCCTGCAGCTCTCGCAGGGGGCAGTGTGAGGGCGGGGAAATTATCGGGTGCTCTTCATTGGGCCTCAGTGAGGAGGGGCAGTGTGGATGCACTCTCACACTGCTGTCTGGGGCAGAGGGGGCAGTTCCTTCCGGGAGCTTCCCCGCCCCAGGAGTGGCGCTCCTTGGCCTGGGACTGCTCCCACCGGGCACAGGCCGCCGGTTCTCCCAGCCCAGAAGGAGAGGCTTCCAGGAATGACCTGTCTGGGGTGGACCCACCCACTCCAGGCCTGTCACAGGAACATCTGGCAGCCGCCCCACTGTCCGCTGTGTCCTGGTGCCATCAGGCCAGTCATCCTGCTGGGCAGGGACATGCCTGTCATACAGGGAGTCATTTCTCCCATGGTGTGGATGCCCCTTCCATACAGCGCAGGGAGGTGGCATCTGGAGGGATGCCTGACTTCCTGGCGTGGAAGCAGTTCCTGGGGCACAAGGATAAATGGTGGGTCCTGGGTTGGGTGGTCTACTGGCGCCCCTGCCCCACTGGAGCGGGGGTGGAGTGGGCCTGCTGGAGGCCCTGACCAGGCCTGCACGTGCAGCCTGGGACGGTGAGTGACTTCTGCCGAGTGGCCCCTTGAACAGCACCTAGCCGGCCACTGTGAGCAGCTCTTTAAACCACTGGTTCCAGGTGGCATTGGCTCTGGGGCCCCCTACTCCGCCCCACCGCAGGGCAAAGACAGGTTGTCCCTCCTGAGGAGTGAGCAGACAGGAGGGCGGCCTTGGGGCTCAGGAGAAGACCCTGGGCCCAGGGTTCAGGAGGCACTGAGGCCAGGCACTACGGGACGACACCGTGATGGTCACGGCTGACAGACACAAGGGTGACTGTGTACCCTTTGCAGGTTAGGTCACCTCTCCGATCCTGGGTTTCTCACTCAGAAGTGGCTGTTTGGAGGACATAATGGTGGGTCCCCCAGGATACACCCAAAGCAGTCAGATTTGTGCCCTTACCTTACCCCCGTCCCCATCTCATTACAGGAAGTTCTACTACATCACCCTGCTGCGAGACCCCGTGTCCCGCTACCTGAGCGAGTGGCGGCACGTGCAGCGGGGGGCCACGTGGAAGACGTCGCTGCACATGTGTGACGGGCGCACGCCCACGCCCGAGGAGCTGCCGCCCTGCTATGAGGGCACGGACTGGTCGGGCTGCACACTGCAGGAGTTCATGGACTGCCCCTACAACCTGGCCAACAACCGCCAGGTGCGCATGCTGGCCGACCTGAGCCTGGTGGGCTGCTACAACCTGTCCTTCATCCCCGAGGGCAAGCGGGCCCAGCTGCTGCTGGAGAGCGCCAAGAAGAACCTGCGGGGCATGGCCTTCTTCGGCCTGACGGAGTTCCAGCGCAAGACGCAGTACCTGTTCGAGCGGACGTTCAACCTCAAGTTCATCCGGCCCTTCATGCAGTACAACAGCACGCGGGCGGGCGGCGTGGAGGTGGACGAGGACACCATCCGGCGCATTGAGGAGCTCAACGACCTGGACATGCAGCTCTACGACTACGCCAAGGACCTCTTCCAGCAGCGCTACCAGTACAAGCGGCAGCTGGAGCGCAGGGAGCAGCGCCTCAAGAGCCGGGAGGAGCGCCTGCTGCACCGGGCCAAGGAGGCGCTGCCGCGGGAGGATGCCGAGGAGCCGGGCCGAGTGCCCACGGAGGACTACATGAGCCACATCATCGAGAAGTGGTAGTGGTGGCCGGCCGTG